ATTACCCCACCATGCCTTCCTTGAGCTTTTGAAACTCATTAAATCTCAAGGTATTTTGGGTATCCTAAAGTGAAAATTTTCTGAAAGAAGCACTGTGTAGAAATGTTCTTTATCCACATAAACATCAGTTCATAGAACAGCTTAGCAGACCATATCAAGAACCAATCACTGTTTGTTAAATCTTTCAAATATTCTTCATTATAATATACTGGACTGGAGAACAAAATAACTATGTAAGTCACTAAAAATAAGCTAGTGTTTCATCCGCAGGGCAAATGGTGCTTTTTACTATCAGTGTTTAATAATTAAGAATGCAAGGTACTATATATGTGATCTGTTATTTATCCTTGTAGACAAGATCACTTCTACAAATGTAAATAAAGACTAAAAATGTAAGCACCGTTCTGAAATAAAGTGAATCACCCTTCAAGATAAAATTAGCTCAAGTTATGGCACTTTTCCCTCTAAACTACACAAGACTCTTCTGAAAACAGTTTTTAGTTTATTGAAGTACTTATTTTAGTTTAAAAATCAAATAGAAATACACTGGTATAAGAGATAAGAGGTGTCCCTGCCATTACCAGTGTGGAACCTCACTTGGCAGAGATAACTGCTTCCATTGTGTTCCTCCTGGGTTCACTGCCATGTCTGGGTTGCATGCATTAAATGCTTTTACTATTTTAGATAATATCTGCTCATTTCTGTTTATTAAAAATTATGACATAGCTTTCAGCCCAATCTGCCCTCCACACATGCATACTTTACTTTTGACTTTGCACTCATTCTCTCAGTATTAATATTATAACAGCCTCTGGCTGAATATTTATATTTATATCATGACCAAAGTACAAATGGTTTAAAAGTGAAATCACTCAGTGTATATTTTTTCCTTGTACAACTTGTTTTCCTTGGAATTGATAACGGCTTCATCTTTCAATGCTTACTCTTTGATGTACTAACTCTAATTTATTCCCAGACTAATTTCAAGAGTTCTAAAACATTTTGATTTTTCAAATACAAGTTATAAGTTCCATTGTTTTAAGGTAGACTCTTTGAACAAGAACTCTATCCTCTTATTTTGACACAGACTAGTTGCTTCGCAGGCCTACTTCCCGACACTGCTCTGGGAGTCTGTTCGCTGTCCTCTCAGGACTTCCCTCCTGTCCCATCTGACTCTTCAGTATCCTAGACCTCTGTCTTCCTCTTCCTTTGTCTAATTCCTTGTGCTCATGGGGCACACTGCTTTTTAGGACTCCGGAAGGGACAGTACTTGGGCAGTGCTCACGGATACTTGAGTACCACTGAATCACACCATTTATTGGGGGAAAAAAAAGTCTGCATAGATTATGTCATCTTTAGAGACAGAAGAACTTTTCCACACTATTCTTCATTTTACAAATGAAGAAACTGATACTGGAGAAGGTAAAGGAACACTGTTTAAGGTTACACGTCATGCAACATGTGAGACCATTCTTAAAAAGATTATAGCAAAACTCTTTCCTGTTGCACTTTGATAGGAAGCTTGTGGTAATCTCTACCTGCACTTTAAGCATGAGCAGAGGTGAGTAAAAAGCAAAATACAGTTGCACCCACACTGAAACAACTCTTGCAACCCCTGCTACCGTACTCATAGCGATCCTGATATGAATGCATTAACTATTTATTGCTGCAATGTACTGACCTCTATTTACAGTAATAATGAA